GCTAACCTATCTGAGATAATTAGTTAACAGGATCTGTGTATTAACTTTCCTTTTTTTTCCAATTAGTTAAACCATATAAATTACGAGATCAAACATCTTTTCCCAGACGCATGGGAAATTGAAATTAAAAGATTACTCTTATATATGCCTCACGTCACTATAGCTTGTTAAACCATGGTTTAGCACAGTATGGATTCAGTCTGCTCTGAATAAAGAATTGTAAATATACAGCTAATACCGTACCTACTTTTATCTGGTATGATTTGGAGCAGATTCCATCTGGATTCTGAATCAATAAAATTTATGCATCGTACTGGCTCAGCCTTACCTCTCCAACATATTCCATGACAAAGCTATGCTTGCGAATCTTCTCCAATGTACGTACACCCCAGCCACGTCCATTATCTGTCCGGAAAATGCAAAGGTCATAACAAATGCCCCTCTGTACTACACGGTTTGGGCAATCAATACCACAGTTGCAGCGAGAATTGCACTCATAGATTGGCATGCCAGCCTTGATCTTTACTTGGCCCAACTCATTATAGGCAAATTTATGGTGTGAAGCGCCAGGACAGCATCCTCCTGCTGCTTCTGACAGACAGTCTGAACATTCACAGCCTACAGCCATCTGGTTGAGAGTGATACCATCTCCAACTTTATATTCACTGATGTAGACAAAGTCCCGGGGAGGCCCATCCAAGTCCACCTCATTTTCTACCACAATTCGTCCCTTGTGGTTGCGCTTGGCATTAAGCTCATATTCCCAATGCTGCAAAGCTCGCCTCTGTTTGGCCTTCTGAACCAAATAATTGGAAATTCCTTGATCAAGTAAGCGCATATTCTTTTTGAACTTGCTACCACGCCGGATCAATGCCTGTTCTAGGTCCCTGTGGAATTGCTTGAGTATACTGATACATCGCAAATTCTTTCGGGGCTCCCAGGTATTCTCTGAATCAGAATAGCCCTGCCACTTCACCAGGTAGAACTCCTCATCCTGAGTAAAATAACAGAGCAAACTGTAAGTCTACCATTTTACAATTTTCTTCCTAGAAAAAAGCCCAGAAAATGACATTCCATAGAATTTCTTCACTAAAACAAAAATCCAAGGATATAATCCAGGTAGCATTTCCATCATCCTATCATTCCCAATTTCTTAAGCAAAAGAACACTGGTTAAAAGGAGGAGAACAGAAAGAAGGAAAGTATAGATTATGAAAATGTCAATACAGGTACTCTGTCAACAGACACTTGGTGAAGGTCATATAAAACGAAAGATTAAAACTATGGGCAAATCCAAGAAACTCACCCGGATTTTCTTATAATCACATAGATATTCTACTTCAAAATCACTGAGGTTTTTTTTAGTAATGCCCAAGGAAGGGCAACACACCTTCTCCAATCGACAAAGATCCTGGAGATTGGACAAAGTTGACTTGCAGCAAACAGTACACTCTATGGAGGATAAGAGTAGACATTCACTGTTAAAATATAGTTTACTTTCAAAAAATATTAGGTGTTATCTGAATAGCCCTGCAAAACATACTAACCAAAATAATTACAGGAAAGATTTCTTCTTTATATTTAGCCTGACACATATTACAGAGATATAGAGAACAGCAGAAAGAATATTTCAAAACAGCCATGTGACAATAATTTTCAGTACCCTAGTTATTAAAATAAAAATGGGTTAAGAATCATCTGGACTAATTGGTAAATTCATTCATGTAATGATGATATACAGTAAATTGGCTGTTTAGGGCAACAAAAAAATGATTCCCCAAATGACAGGCTGAAGTAAAAGCATTATGAGCTGTGTTCAATTCTAATGTAAGAATTAAATAATTTGAATCTAAGAATTTAAATTCATCTAGATTTTGTATTGTTCAGCTTCCAAATCTTAAGAGAGTTTTATTAAAGTAAATCTTGCTAGGCTTATGTTTGCAGATTGCTGTATTCAATTATTCACCTTTGAATTCACAGCAAAAGTTGTATTTACTTGTCTCAAAGGTGCTTTTTCAAGAGGCAACTGGACTTTCTTGTTTTTCTTTGAAGACATTTTGTTTCTAATCCAAGCAGCTTTTTCAGCTGTGACTAGATGGTGGGGAATGGAAAGATTTATACTCCTTGCAGACAACTAGTCGTTTGCATTCTTTTAGAGAGGTGTTGAGGTCACCTGGAGGTTTATCTGTGTCATCAGAGTCACCTGAATATTGCAAATGGATATTGAGCTTTCTTGGAACTGTTGAAAGAACCATGTTGTAGACTGCTGATAGATGATGTGGTATCCCTTCCCCTCTGTTGACAATGATATCATACTACATCATCTACTGGTATCTCCAGCCTACAACAGTCCTTTCAACAGTTCCAAGAAGGCTCAACACCCATTTGCAATACTCAGGGGACCCTAACAGCAGATAAACCTCCAGGTGGCTTCAATGCCTCTCTAAAAGAATGCAAATGACCAGCTGTCTGCAAGGAGGATAAATCCTTCCATTCCCCTCCATCCAGTTAGAACTGAAGAAGCTTCTCGGATGAGAAGTGAAACATCTTCAAAGAAAAACAAGAAAGTCCTGATGAATAACTGAATTTTAGATGTCCAAGTCATTTTTTATACAGAGCCTAACATATTTAAAAACTAGAAAAAGAATTACTTCTCATTTTATAAAGAAAGAACCTAAAATAAAAGCATATATTTTTAGGGAACTCTTTCAGAGAATTATTCTTTATATAGTACGTAACATTTTCACAACCCACTGGAATTTCCAAAATGGGCTAATATCCTAAAAAGTCTGTCAAATAAAATAAGACAAACATATATAATTTTTGTGATTTTTTTTCCAGCACTCTAGTTCAAATTCAGCATTCTAGAATTAGAATAACCAAATCCTACATTTATCAAGATTTAAGAAATTTACAAAACCATCAAGCTGCTTCATTCAAATGCTTTGTTTTTCACTTAAAGAATCCTAATTCTTTTTACAAAGGTAATATCACTAAATGAAAGGCTAGCACAACTTCAGATGGATAAAGGTGAGATCTGATTATAATTACCTGTAACACATTGTTATCTACTCCAAACTCTTGGGCAAGCTATAAAATGCAACATATCTAACTTTGGTAGTGACAACTGGATTTTAAACAACCTTGTGCCAGTAGCATGAATATACATATGTTGAAATGTAAGCAAGATGAGGGTCATTTCACTCAACCATATGTACTGAGAGATGTCTCAATAGAATTCAATTCACATTTAACATAGTAAATACACACGCACACTGTATATTATATTTACATTTATTTTAAATGTTTCTGCTACTCATTCCCCAAGACTTGAGCAGTTATCAGAAACATCCTAAGGAAAAATACTTCAATAAAAATAAACTCACTAAACAAAATAATTTTAAAAAGCTCAACAGCATCATAAAGGATTAAAAAAAAATACTAAGTTATGTATCCGCCAATTCATCCCAGCAGTGAAAGCATGTCTTCATCCTGGGCAGGATAGAAAAGCCAAGTCCTTTAAGTGCTGTTTTGAAACCCAGGAAGGAAAAGATAAGATTAAATCTCCATAGAGAGGGAATTCCAAAACATGAGGGTGATTTTAAAAAACATAAATCTCCTAGTTACTGTAAGATGGCATTCTCAGAATTGCCATACTAAAATGATACACCAAACATACGTTTATCAAGAAGAGCATGTTATCATTTGCTGTTTCTACTAAAATATATGAATATAAATTGAATAAAAAGATGTAAGAAAAATAAAATATCATAAATTACTTAACATCTCCATGTGGTTTCAGTTCTAAGCCTACTCAACAGATGTTGAGATTTGTGGCTCTTCAACCAACACATCTACAAGTCTAATCTAAAGTAGAGTTGTTTATGCAGCACTGCCTAAACTAGTGTATTAATTTCTAAAGTCTGAGTTTCATACAAAAATCAGATTTTTCGATGACAGGTCTGTCTTGTTCATTACGGATCTGAGAGTCATTCTGGAAGCCTTTCCAACAGAAAAACAGGCAAAATATGCTTTAGGGGGGAAAAAAAGCACTAAGTCTGACAGGGCAGAAGCTTGAAATGAGTATTGCCTTCAGTCACTTCGTTCTGTGAGGAAAAATTTATTCCAGAACAAATTTATTTCCTCCCGCAAAGCGAGGTGCTGCTGCTCTTCGACTACGCGCAACAAGGTTGTTCTTAAGGAACGGGAAGCCAAAGGATGAAAGGATACAAAAGGTGAGGGAAAATGAAGGACCAAACCAGGGAAAAAGGGGTTCTTTTTTTTTTTTTTTTTTTTTGAAAACGAAGTAAGGAAATAGTGCCGGGGAAACAAGCAGAGAAATCACTATAGAAAGTCAACGTGCTGGAGTGACTTTCGCGGCGCGAGTCCGTGGGATCCACGCTTCTCCCTCGTGATCCTTTCCTTTTTTTTTTTTTTCCTCAGCTCACCGCGCGATCATTTACCTTAACTCGCTCGCGGCGCGAGGCAACCGAATGGCCGCGCCACGTACGCCGAGTCGCCGCTCTTCCTCTTCTTCCTCCTCCACCTCCCCCTTCTTCCCCCCCCCCCATAACGGTCGTTGCCGAATGCCGCCTCAGCCACGCGCTCGCTAGAACGCGGCGGAGGCGGCCACGGGCTGCTCCCTTCGCGGCAACTCCCGCTTCCCGCTCGATTCAACTCTCGCCGCCTCGCTCCACAACGCCCGGCGCGCTCTTGCTTGTTTCGCTCACCTTTTAAATTTTCCGCCATCTTGAACATTTTTTTTTATTTCCCTCCACCCACCGAGGCTGCCAGAAAGTTTTCATCTCCCAAGAAAGGGAGCTGGAGGCGGATCCAGGCAACCTCCGAAGCTTCGCCCTTTGAGGAACGGGCTCTCGGGCCAATGGGGGGCGCGGTGGCTCGCTTAGGCCCCACCCTACTAAGGCCTTTTACGGGTTTATTTTCTGACTCGCTTCGTTTCCTCCCGCCGGGCATGAGGTTTTGGTTGCCGCTCGGCGGGAACGAAAAGTAAAACTTTGGCACCGCCTCCCGGCGCTGTTCAAAGCTGAAGCGTGTGGTAGCTTGGCCTTTTCGAAACGTTGGTCTCTGACTCGTTTTCCTTTTCTTGCTCGTACAGGAGGAGATATGAAATGGGAATGGGGTACAAAAACGAATTATTCAAATTGACAGCTTCTTTTGTCCCTGAGAAAGTTACACTTGAGTACGAGGGTATCTAAAAACAAAACATTTGTTTTGTAGAACAAAACATGCATTTATGCTATAATAAGGAAATTGGCGGGGTGGGAACGGATTATGTTCACGTTATTGATCCTAATCGTTTATGAGGCAGTTTCTGGATATGTTTAAAAATGCCAACCCTTGTTTCCTTTTTGCCATACAGCCATGGAAAAACCATGAATTTAGAAGACTAACTCAACAATTGGGGCTGGAAGAAAGGAACATCTTGCAGCTAGAGAGCCCACTTAATTAATTAAGCATTGTTTGTACTGCTGAATTTCATTGGGGAATAAATTAGGGAACATGTTATATAGTTGATTGTGGTTGCCTACTTCCCCCCCCTTCTTTACAATCATTGAATATTTTCTAACATCCATTTATTCTTTAAAACTTACTATTTTTCTACAGTACTTTTCTCAGTTTCAGCCCAACTAGTGAAAGGTATACCTTGCTGATCAATACTATTTTCCCTAATATAAACAGAGATCTAATCAAATTACATTTTGTTACTAAAAATAATACTTGGTAATTACCAAAATTTGTTTGGTAGCAACTTGATTCCAGAAAGCTTTCTCAGCTAGCAAAATAATATTGTAGGCAGAAAGTAGCAAAAATATTCCGTGTAGAATAGAGAAACTTTACGCTATGCAGGTAGTCTTCAACCTACGACCACAATTGAGTCCCAAAATTTCTGTTGCTAAGTGAGAAAGTTAAGTGAATTTTGCCCCATATTATAAACTTTCTTGGCATAGTTTTTAAGTGAATGACTAGTTGTTAAATTAGTGTAACAGTTGTTTAGTGAATCTGACTTCCCCATTGACTGATTGTCAGAAGGTTGCAAAAGGTGATCACATGACCCTGGAACACTGCAACCGTCATAAATATGAACCAGTTGCCCAGCTTCTGAATTTTGATCATGTGACCATGGGGAAGCCGCAACAGTCATAAGTGAAAAAGTCATAGGTCACTTTTTCAGTACCTTTGTAATTGAATGGTCACTAAATGAAGTGCTGTAAGTCGAGGACTACTTGTAAATGCACACTTCACATGCACACAGAGCTTCACTAAAACTTCTATTTTATAACCCAAATCTGTTCGATTTTGAGCAATTATTTTTTTTCATGGAATATTGTTACAATTTCAAAGACAACAGGCAGAGTGTATCTAACTTCTTGGGCAATTTTTGATCAGGAAAATGTGTATCCTAACTCTTGGTATATTGGTTATTATTTTATTTATTTATTTATTTAATTTGATTTGTATACCGCCCTATCTCCATGGGACTCAGGGTGTCTCACAACAATTAAGAAATACAATCCCAATCCAATAAAAAACATGTTAAAAATACATATTAAACCCATAAAACACATTAAAAATAATCAAAACCCCATCAGTCCAGGCTGGGCAATTTGAACAGCCATGTTTTTAGTTCGCGGCGGAAAGTGCGAAGGTCAGGGGCCAACTGGAGCCCCAGGGGGAGTTGATTCCAAAGGGTGGGTGTGCCCACAGAGAAAGCTCTACCTCTGGGGGTCGCCAGCCGACATTGTTTAGCCGATGGCACCCTGAGTAGGCCTTCCCTGTGAGAACGCACCGGGAGATGGGAAGCTGTTGCTGGTTGCAGATAGTCCGACAGATATCCTGGGCCTAAGCCATGTAGCCATTATATTAGTATTATACATTAATATACTGATATTTGGTACATCGTTGTTTAGCCCACCATAGCATGCTGTTGCATTTTCATGCACTTGTGTATTCAGATGGGCTGCATGTACTACACTAGTCTGAATATTTCTTAATGAACTATATAAGAAACAGCTTTTCAAGAAAGGCTTTGGGGACAAATAAGATCATGCTATCATTAATGATAGTGCATCAAACTGATTATAGATACATGGATTTATTTTTATTTTTATCTTATTAATTCTGGAATCTGCTCAGAATCTCTGGAAATATCATATTAATTGCAGTTAATAAATAAACTTAAAGCACTGCTCAAGCCATTACCCATTAAACTGGCATTTCCTATTTGTAGCACTACTCTTGCCTCTTTTGCCCTCAAATCAAAAATAAAGTCTAAAGTAGTTTTATTCCATTTGAAGCCATCAAACAGTATTAGCATGAAACTTGTATTGTTTCCTCAAATTACAGTTAAATATTCTAATGGACTGGTAAAAATATAATCCAATAAATACAGATGGCATCATACTGGGGAAGTCTCCCCTGGAGAAATGCTGCTTCCCATTTTGTGTTTTTTTTAAATTTTATAGAAGAAATATAGCCAATTGGTTTATTTACCAGCTTTGGGTGCAAATGGTAGTGATAGATGCCTATGCATATATATAAGGATTCAGATAACCAAATCACCATCACAATTATCTTTTTGCATCACAATCCGTGTTTGTTACTAAAAGTTTGTGAAATAGTACAATCTGATTTCCCCATCTCTTCAAATAATTATGAAATCTTAATTTGTCCCACCCAACTTGGTTTCATGAGTGCCGAGATCCATTTTTAAAATGTCTTAACTGGCACTGAACTGGTAGTGAAATATTTGCTGGTAACTCATTTTCAACTGGTCAGGACAATCTTGCTCCAGTCCTCTATTACCATTTGATCTTTGGGTTGTTTTTTTAACTCCTTGTGTTTCTTTATCTCCCTGATCTGACTCTGCAAAATTGGATAGTTATCTTTACCATTCAGTGTTAGAACTGCATGATCTTCTCAATTGTAAAAATTATGAATAAATTGCTATATTTTCAGCAGCTGTCTGGAAGAATTCAGCACTCTGAGACTAATGTCATCTGACAGATAGAAAAAAATGGAATCCTGTTGTAAATCAGTCTTCAAAGACTTTTGTTATATTAGGTTGAAAAGAGGCATTTCTTTACAACTGAGGTATCTCTCCAAAGATTTAAATTGTGTATTTGAATTGAAAAAAATGGATCTTGTGATGGTTGTTTACATTGTCTAAATAGTCTCCATGATGCCAAAATTTCAAAAATCGATTTTACTGTGAGGAGCTAGACAAAGGGTCAGCAACAGAGCACCCCAATGCCTTAAATAATATCCAAACTCTTCTACAATTAAAACTATTTTTAAATGACTAAAATCTTATATCAGAAGAGAATAACATGAAATTTGATAATTTAATTTCAGCCAATATTTTAAAAAGTAGTTGACTCTAAGTTTAGAATGAATTTTTATTTTTAATCTAATAAATGCATTCATATAAATGTACATTTCCTTTTCCTGAACAGTGCATGAAATAAGGTTTTCCCATCTTCTCAGTCAACAGTCCCCATTCCAAGCCTGCTGCCATTCAGAAAACAGTTTCTATAACCTCAGGTAGTACAGCAAAATTCTGTGTGTGCTAACTTGAATCCAAGGGCTGGAAAACCACAGACTAATATGACTTCGGAATGCTGGTTTAAGGAGAGAAATGACAAATCACTCCATCTTTTGGGAATAAAAGAATTTCTCAAACAAATCTATTGAAAATACTATAATTTCCAGTACATATGTGGCATGTATGTGTGCATATATATATATGTGTGTGTGTGTATTTATGCATATATGTATATTTCAGTTTGGGGACGCGGTGGCTCAGTGACTAAGACGCTGAGCTTGTCGATTGAAAGGTCGGCAGTCCAGTGGTTCAAATCCCTAGTACGGTGTAACGGGGTGAACTCCCATTACTTGTCCCAGCTTCTGTCAACCTAGCAGTTCGAAAGCACGTAAAAAATGCAAGTAGAAAAATAGGGACCACCTTTGGTGGGAAGGTAATAGTGTTCCGTGCGCCTGTGGCGTTTAGTCATGCTGGCCACATGACCACGGAGACATCTTCGGACAGCGCTGGCTCTTCGGCTTTGAAACGGAGATGAGCACTGCCCCCTAGAGTCGGGAACGACTAGCACATATGTGCAAGAGGAACCTTTACCTTTTTATATTTCAGTTCATGCTGGTAAAATATAAATAAGCATATGTTTGTTGTAAAGAATAGAAATCAGTTCCCCATAGTGCCAATGCATTCTTTTGAAATATGTGCAAATAATTTAAATAAAGTTTCAGTATGAGTTAACAGCATACAAGGGATTTTATTTCAAAAAATAAAAACTTGCTTACATTTTTGTCATTCTCATGCTTGCATTTGGGCTTCAAAACTTTGGGGGGGAACACAATTAGGTAAGCAAAAGAAAGGTTCAGGAAAGGGTTGGCTGAAAGATGATACAACTCTTAGAAAAATAAATGCAGGAGATTATGAATGGTCAAAATTGGAGGGCTCAAAGAGATAGAATTACAACCTTACTTTCTAAAACCGTCAAAGGCATCCAGGTGCACAGGTGAGGGAGAAGAATATGCTTAGGCCTAAGTGATTTTGAAAAGGAGGATGGGAAAATAACCCCTTTGCTGCCCTCATTGAAGCAGACTGCCTCTGCCTTACTGGGATTCCAGAAGTATCTGCAGAAATGGGAGGGAAAAATTCTGGCAGAGTCATCATCCGATTAAATGCCTCTGGCAACAGGCTGAAAGAAGGATCAAACTTGGTGTCAGGTGCAATTCTAGGCTCAGTCATCCCATTCATCGTCATCATCTTCATCGCCATTGTCCTCATCTTCATCTATGAATACAGCAGAACAGGAAAATACAGTAAAACAGGGACCCAAAGCTGATTAGCATTTCAAGAATGTCAGCACAACAGCTGCTCAGCTATATATGGATGTGCATATACAGATCTCCCTCTCCAACACTCATTTCAGTTGTCTTGATCCCCATGTCTTTTGATCCAACACCAGGGCAACACAGCCTGACTTGAAGTTGAACTTCTCACAAAATGGCATTGGATCTTCCTCAAAGCTTTGCTTTGTTTTTATAGTTCCAAATAATCACAAAGCTCTGAACTTTTGGAAGCTTTAGAAATTATATGTAAGTGTATGAGCCTGAAAGTAAGAAATAGCATATGGATATACACAAGACTCACCTGAAGAATGGATGACTTTGCTCCTCTTTTGCATCACATGCATAAGAGCCCCTACCAGGCCTTCAGAACTCTGATTAGAAGGTGAAGAGTCCACAACGTCGGGTGTCTAAGATGCATGAAACATACATATGTATATTTATGTATTTATGTATTTATTTATTACTTTTAACCTGCATTTATTATTGTTTGCAAATAACTCAAGGCAGTGAACATAACTAATATTCCTCCTATTTTTCCCACAAGAACCATTCTGTGAGATGGGTTGAACTGAGAGAGAGTAATTGGCCCAAGGTCTCCCAGTGCTTTAGTGATATTAAGTAGAGCTTCCTATGCTG